CGGACCCCTTAAAGGGGCACGGGCTGGCTACGGTGCCCGTGCCAGGTGCAAGCCTGCCAGCACCCAGCTAGCAGACCCTGCACCTGGCACGGCACAGAGCCACCCACCCGATGCCCCCCAGCCCATCCCCTCTTGCCGGGACCAGGCTGGCGGCTCCCGGGAGCTTGCCCTGGACCGCAAGAGGCGGGCACCTTCCTGGGCTAGTGCGGACATCGTGGACCTTGTCCACGATCTCCGCACTAGGCACAGGAAAGTGGCCGTCTAGGGCAGGAGGGCTGCCAGCCTGGCCACCCAGGACCAGGTGTGCATGAAAATCAAGGGGGTCCACTGAGACCCCCGACCCTGAGCCCTGAGCTTACAATGGCCGTACTGGGTCAGACCAAAGGTCCATCTAGCCCAGTAGCCTGTCTGCCAACAGCGGCCAACCCTAGGGACCCTGGAGGGGATGGACCGAAGACAATGACCAAGCCATTTGTCTCGTGCCATCCCTCTCCAGCCTTCCACAAACTTTGGGCAGGGACACCACTCCTACCCCGTGGCTAAGACTACTCCATGGACCCAACCTCCATGACTTGATCTCACTTCCCTTTAAACTCTGTTCTAGTTGTAGCCTTCACAGCCTCCTGTAGCAAGGAGTTCCGCAGGTTAACTATTTGCTTTGGGAAGAAGAACAACTTTCTCTTACTAGTTTCAAGCCTGCTACCCATTCCTTTCCTTTGGTGTCCTCTAGTCCTTCTTTATGGGAACTCAGGAAGAACTTTTCTGAATGCACCCTCTCCACCCAACCCCTGCTTTTAGAGACCTCTATCCTGTCCCCCCTCCGTCTCCTCTTTTCTAAGCTGAACAGTCCCAGTCTCTGTAGCCTTTCTTCATCTGGGACCTGTTCCCAACCCCTGATCATGTTAGTTGCCCTCCCCTCTCCCAGCCTTTCTCTTCCCCTCTCCCACCTCCTTTTCCCAGTCTCCCCCAGTTTTTTTCAATAAAGACAGAGTCAATGTTGGAAGAAACGTTATCTTTATTTTGTACATCAATAAGAAGGGGGGCTAGGGAAGGGTAAGTGGAAGGAGGTGAGGGAGGAATGGGGTACGAGCCCCCGATGGGGAGGACTGGGCTGGCTCTGCGGGCTTCTGGGGGTGGAAGCTCTCCTGCAGCCCCCCAATTACTCCCTCTCCCCAGATGGCAGCCTGCGGCAAGTGCAGCCGGGCTGATGGCCGAGTGGTGTGATGTGCCCAGTGTGGGCACTCAGGGCACTCCAAGCCAGAACTTCTTTGCAAGCGGGGCACCCCTTAGAACTGTGTGTCCGGGGTGGGGGTCGGGACCCTTTAAGCGCAGCCCTCGGCTAGCCTGAGACAGCATCTCCATGCTCTAAGTCCTCCTCTGATGCCCTGCCGGCACTGCTTCCGGCCATCCTTAAGCCCTGTTCAGAGTCCACTCAATGTGGACTTGCTAGTTCGAATTAGCAAAACGCTAATTCGAACTAGTTTTTAGTTCTAGACGCGTTAGTTCGAATTAGCTTAGTTCGAATTAACTAATTCGAACTAAGTTAGTTCGAACTAGCGCTGTAGTGTAGACGTACCCAGGCTGTGTCTACACTGTACAGTTTTTCTTGAGTATCCCAGAAAATCTCTCCCGCGTCCAGGGAATGCGTTTCCTCTTCCAAAAAATTTTTCAGAAGAGCAGATGCACTTTTTCAGTATCCCAGTAAACCTCATTTTACAAGGAAGAAGGGATGTTCTGAAAAAGGGTTTTTTCCCCAACATTTGGCCCAGTGTAGATGGGCCAAATGTCGGAAAAGCCTCTTCCAAAAAAGGAAGCAGGGAAAGCTATGCAAATTGCAGGTTACAATTTGTATAGCTTTTTCCAGAAGAACAGTGCAGTGTAGACATAGCCTCATACACAGGTTGACATAGGACAGAACAGATCATCAAGTGACCAACCCCCATCGACCATTTCCAGCCTCTGACAAACAGGGTATGTCGACACAGCAGCGTTATTCCGAAATAACTATGTAGCATCTACACAGCTAGCCCGTTATTTCGAAATAATTTCAAAATAACAGGTGGCTTATTTCGGCATTTGCAAGCCTCATTCCACGTGGAATAATGCCTCTTCCAAAACAGATCTTTCGAAATAGTGCCTGTGTAGACTGGGTGCCTGGAGTTATTTCAAAATAATTGGCCTCCAGCCCTTCTCACGGTGCCCTGCTCGCCACTCTGTCTACACTCAACAAAACTCTGTAGTCCCTCCTTCCCTGGACCCCTTAAAGCTGCAGCCTCAGGGCTCATGGCACACTGCAGGCCCTGACAGCCCTGAGCCACCCCGCAGCTGTCACTGCGTTGAGGTAGCTCAAAATGAGCGACTCTGCTGCTCCTACCCAGACCTCCACTGCTCCCAGAGGGAGCGGTCTCCCAGCTCCCAGGACCCTGCCCGGGGACAAAAAAGAGATGCACTTTCCTGGTCTGGTGTGGAGATCCTTGTCCTTATTGAGGTTTGGGGTGATGAGAGCAACCTCCAGGATCTCCACACCAGACACCGGAACACAGACAGCTATGACCGCATGGCCAACAGCCTAGCCACTAAGGGGCACATCTACGTCCAGGAGCAGGTGCGGATGGAAGTGAAAGAGCTCAGCCAAGCATGCCCAGGAGCGCAGAACCCGTCTGTAGCGATTCCCCCGTCCTGGGCTCTTTCCTACATCTGTCAAATGCTGTGGTGGCAGCAATCACCCCTCGGTCCCAGCGGGCTCTTCACCCACAGTACCGGGCATAAGGGTCCCGTGAGCACCGGGTTTGGGGCCATCGACGCCAAGGGGTCATCCTCCAATGGTGTCGCCCCCAGTTCAGTCTCCCGCAACCCTTCCCTGGGGTCGTCCTCCTGGGCTTCCTCCCTCTGCCCTTCGGGGCCCGTCGGGGTGAAGGTCGTCCTCTCAGCCGCCCGCCTGGAGCCTTCCACCCCTGGCATTGAGGTTCTCCTTCCCTGGGGGCTGCTATTCCCTAGGCCTCCTCCTGCCCACCTAGCCCCCTCATTCCACTCTCCTCTTACTCCACGCCTCCCCTCTTCCTGCCGCCCCGGCACCGCATTCAACCCCCCCGCCGGGCCGCTGGAGCATGCGCAGCAGTGTCGAGGTGCGTCGCATGGCACAACCACTGACATCAGCGCCCCAGGCGCTGCCACACCACTGAGAGGGGACGGGCTCACCCCGTCACAGGGGCCATGTGAGATGTCAAATGAAAGTTAATGTGCTACTGATTTTATGTATGTTACTCATGTACTTGTGTGATATCTGTCTGTGGAGTTATAAATATGGACTCTGTGTTGATGCTTGAAGAGTCTCTGTCTAAGACAGAGCCATGTGCCAGGAATCTTCCGTCAGTGACTATGCTAATTAGCAAGGCTCTGAGAGAGGCGAGGACGCGCCTGAGGAATGTGTCTGGAACCTGCAAACCAGCCACAATCATGATTGTTGACTTGGAACATTTGGATAGGTCACTGGGCCATGTGACCTGCTCCAGCTTGGAAGAGACCAGGGATGGGTATAAAATGCCATGAGGCAGGCTCCATCTTGTCTTCAATTCTGCTCCTGATCCCAGATGCGACCTTATGAGAGACAGAGAACTGGAAAGAATCGTGGACCCATCCTGACACAGGATGGACACCTGGGTATGTCTACACTACCCCGCTAGTTTGAACTAGCGGGGTAATGTAGGCATACTGCACTTGCAAATGAAGCCCGGGATTTGAATTTCCCGGGCTTCATTTGCATAAGCCGGCCGGCGCCATTTTTAAATGCCGGCTTGTTCGAACCCCGTGCCGCGCGGCTACACGCGGCACGGGCTAGATAGTTCGAACTAGCAAGCCATTCCGCACTA